TGGGGAAGCACACGTGGACCCTGATGCTGTGGTGTCCTTCCTTCAAGTCACCGTGGGAAGTGGGCACTACCCTACACACATCTTCAGGTTGCCAGGATTGATTGCATTTGCAGATCACCCACTTTTCAGTGGCAGCAATGTCGTCAGCCAGACACTGACCTCCCAGGGTAAAATAAAGCTGACATAAGGAAAGCATGCCTCACATAAGTGGAAAAGTAAGGAGAAAAAAATGAAGATGGGAAAGAATGTCCTTGCTGGTGGAGCAAAGGTGTGTCTGCCCTTGTCGTGCCCCTGTCCTGCTCCCCCTTCCCAGTCTGATCCAGGTGCCACTTCCGTGAGGCTGATCAGGGCGCTGCACAGCTCAGTCATGCCCTTTGGCAAAAGTGTACACGGGACTGTTATCTGGGCACTAAAGTAACATCTGTAAGGCTGATGTCAAGCTCAGCAGCCGCCCCCTTAGGGAAGGTGACCTCAGTGCCCTCCTTCCATCTATGCTTGGTGACTGCTTGCAAGACCTCGCCCTTAGTGTGCACAGTTCACCCATCAGGACGGAGGGGCCACATGTGATCTTCGCGGGCCTGGGGGAGCCACGGTAGCTATCCCCCGGAACACCTGCCCCTCATGCTCCACAGGTGTGCCCTGCAATGTGCACAGGCTTACAGATATTTCGGGGCACACTATAGACCTTTACAGAGTTCTCATTTTGGCCATGACTGGCCATAGAGGTCTGTAGAAAAGGCAACTCTACTGGTACAGACATGGCCTGGACTCAAAAATGGGATGAGTTTCCTGCAGGAGACCTGAGATAGCTTTTCCAGAAAAATCAATTTGTGAATGCTGGGTTTCAAAACACAAACAGCAGATGTGCACTACAGCCCCCTGACTCTGCGTCTACGTCTCCGAGCTATGCCATTGACCCTCAGTGTGTGAAGCTCAGGGTTGCTGAAGGAATGCAGAGTCTTGGGAGGCCCTGGCAAGGACGAAAGGCGGGATGGGGCCGGGGGGAGGAACTGTAGAGGTGGAGAATCAGTGGAGGACCTGACATCCACGCGGAGAGGTCAGCCACTAACCCGGGCTCTCACTTCCTCCACCTCCCACCTTCGTGTCCTCTATCTGCATTCCAGCTCAGCTACTGCCACTCCTGACACTGATCATCAGGAGCCCGGCTCACACGGGTGACAGCACAGCTCCACACTCCACCTTCACCTCATCCCTCTGCTCTCCCAGTGGGGCCCTCAGTTTCTCATTGTTGCACTTCCTGAACTGTCTTCCGGGGAGAGATCAAATACAGTCCTGAGGGACAGGCCCACTGCTGCCAGCTGTCCTTACTGCCCCGCCCCCTCCTCAGGAGGCACTCCACATCTTTTATTGTTAAAAGCTTTTGACTACAAACATGTTTAAACATACACAAGAGCAGAGGGAACAGCGTATCCCCCACTGCACCACCATTCAGCCTTCACAACTACCAGGCACGATGAACGCATCTTTTACACAAGGATTAAATCATAAACGTCCATCAAACATCCTCCCAACTATCCCTTCGAAGACCTGCTACGTGCCCTGTGTCAATGCTCCCACGTTCCTTTGGTATTTGCCACACTCACCCACAGCACACGGACGCAGCCTCGGTGACCGAAACACACTGAGTTACTGGCTTTGGCGTGGGCTCTGCTCCGCGTTATGTCAGCCCTGAGGAGCCGCCTGCTCCCCCTCCCCGCTCCCTGCAAGCAGCGATCTGCACACACACACTCAGCACAACGTTGCGGTACTTGACTACACAGTAAGTACAACATGAAAGTAATACAGTAGTAGACAACTTTTCATGTTGATAAGCACTTAAGATTGCCATATAAATGTTTTCAAACATTTAGAGGAATACAATTATTTCTGTCTCACATTTAAATGGAGTTACTGTGTTTGCAGTTAAATACAATAGATCATATGGACTCGTCTATCTCCTCTCCTTGCCTACATGCCATTCAAACTAAAGGATCATGTGAAAAGTGGCTCACCATCATTGATCATCAGGGATATATTAGCACTAGTCAAAACCACTATGAGTCATCAAATTGGTACTGATTGATTAACACTATGATACTCAAATGGTGGTGTTCACCAGGGATTCAGGGGTCAGGGTGGTAGACCCACATCTGAGGGATGCGGTGAGCATTGTGCAGGGGAAGGGCATAGCTCTAACCCTTACTAGGCTGAGGCAAAGATATAAAATGCAACCAAAATATTTGTACTCTTATATTTCTTGAAATAAAAAAAACCACTATGAGACGCCATGTCA